CTTAAATTTAAAAACAACTTGAACTTACTCTCGAGTAAGCTATGTAGTTTGACATTTTGTACACTTTCCAGTCTAACATCATGTACCAGCCGGCCACAAAATACTTATAAGGCTTTAATAGGCCTTTAACGTTGAATTGTAGGCCTAACTCTGCTCCTCCATTTACAATGTTGACTAATTTACTGGCATCTAGCACAATTGTTACTGCTGACAGGATGGAATAAGGATCTGTCGTGTCAAAACGAACTTTTCTGCACTTTTCTTCATATCTTGACTTGCATATATTGTTTAATTTACTAGTAAATTTGTAAAAAATGAACAAAACTAGGTGATGGTGTAGCCGGAGGTCATGTTTACATGAATAATATTTATGTCCAATATGGCCGCAAATTGTTGCTGTGTTTACGTTGGTCATGTGACTGCATAACCTCTATAAAATTAAGCTTGGCACATGTACAAAATCCAAACCAGAAAGAAGCTCAGCAATGAATTTTACATTATGTGATGAAGAGTCTAGGCTTAAAATGTCATCAAAGTAAATAGTATTACATCCACTGTATTGATGATGATTTTTTATATAATAGCTTGTATCTGTTTAATCCTATTCCAACATTCATTAAGGACAAAGTTCTCATCCATGGATTGTTGGTCAACTCGTACTTCCTCGGCTAGCTACCCCATTAAAACTGTAGACACTTGACAGAAGACCAGGGATCCTATATCATAACTAAATTATATGTACCTGATTAACAAAAATAACATTAAGAAAATATTTATAAGACCATGAGCACTATATGATCAAAGCATTAGCTAGAATTTTTTTACATTTAAGGTCATTTATAATTTTTTTTTATGCAACCTGTAATAGAAAAGTGTGAAAGTATAATTTATTTATTTGTAGTGATTCATACAATTCTCACTTTACATTATTATGAATCAACCAATGGTAGTAGCTAAATTTTAACAAAAGTGAAACTTAAAATCATCTTATGATAGAATTCCCAAGCTGTAAAAAATTAGTTTTCAGATCATTTTAAGTCGACCTAAGAAGAACCCATTGACTCTAGTCAGAAATGTGTACAAAAAAATTACAGTAGTGAACATCACAACCAGCTATAAATCAAAATATCATTGTTTGGAACCTATTTTATCATAAACTCTGATAATTACTGAAGTGAATCCAGTTACCAGTTTTCATATGAAGAAATATTTTCAGGGGTTGGGCACATGACTGTGTAATTATATTATTGAGTATCACTGAACTTAAAATATATGGTCAGACTTGCAACTCTATGTAAGAAACTACATATGGACTTATGTAATTTTAAAAGTTGACCCACTTGACATTTAATATAGTTTCATTACTGAGTTTGCATAGAAGTAGGTTTTTTAACTTGAAAAACATTAAGAAACACTGGACTAAATGTAAACTGTTCTAAATGCACTTCCCAAATGCCATATTTATTACATGTACAAGTACACAAAAAAAACCCTGAATTATGAATCTTGTTAAACACCAAGTAATGAAACATGCAAGAAAATTAAAGATACCATTTTCAATAGAATATCATAATGCTCTTTGGAAAATAAGCAAAATATATATTTCTAGAAAGAATATTGGTTCTCAGAAAATGAATGACAATTTCTCTATACTGTCTAAGTTAATTCAAGGACTTGAGATGCATGGAATGTCTGGTTGGTCCCAAGCTTCACTGGGTTGGATACAGAACCTGCTTCCACACAAATCATGTTTAAGTATTCGTCATCTCCAAAGTCACTCATAGCCTTAGCCTTTTCCTTCCATGGGTTCCAGATAACTGTAAAAATGTACATTTTACACAATAATTCAAGTCAAACAAATTATTTTTTTTACATTTATTTTATGCTTTACAAAACTAACGTATGTTAAAATATGTTTTACATCATTTGTTACTTACTAGAATATACTAATACTCATCTTTCCCCTATTCAAGACAAAATATACATACACAATTTGTAATTAGTTTACAAAAGATTCTAAACTATGGATGAGCAACAAATCCTAAAATATTAATTTAAAAAAGGTTATATCATCTAACAATATCCTTCCACAATGATCCCATTCAACCACTTGTTTAATTGTAATTCTTCCATTAAAGATTTAGTCTTTTCCGTACCTGAAGAAATGTAAGGTGATCAGAGTAATACAGAAATGTTTATTTCAGAATCGTTTTTTGTGCAAAGAAAAACAGTAGCTATCTGAGCATAACTGTTCCAACTCTTGTTAATTCCGAACAGTTGGAATTAACCACCACTCTTATAGCATACCCATAGCCACAAAATGTGCAGTGTGCTTTAGGAGCAATGGGTGTGAACTGTGAAATCTCAGATTCACAGTCCGAACATATTAGCATATAGTAATCAGAAAACTTGAGTACTTAATGCATTAATTTTCACTTGAAGTACAGGATTTTAAAAAAAACTCTTAATTTTGATGTACTTGTTTATTTAATATAAAACTTAAAGGTGTTTTTAATTATTCTTATTGAGAACCACAAAGATAGTTTAAAACTCAAACATCCATAATTTAATTTACATTAATCCCTTATAAAGAATAATCTGTAATTTGACATTACGTTTTTCTTACAGTTTTATCAGGAGTTTTTTTACACTTGTACAACTTTCATCACAAATTACTATATACAGAAATTTTTTATGAAACACAATACAGGTGGTAAAATATATATGCATATTTCAGTGACTAACCCGTGTCAGGAAAATTGTGTTTTCTCATCGTGATTGTTCTATTCCCAGCAACAACTCTAATGGAATGTTCACTTGGTGTATTCTGGTATACCCTGTGTAACAAAAAAAAAATCAATATACAGTTCATTACGCTTAATGCAAAGAAGTCTTCCTTTTTTTAAATATGAACCATGCATTTAAATAAAAGATGATAGACCACACTTTATGTTTAGGCTCATACTATTTGTATTATTTTATTTACCAAATTTAAAACTATAGAACTATTTCTATAAAGTAATATCACTTTCTAAAAAAAAAGGTTTTGTTTCATGATCCTACAATCTACAAAAAGCAATCTATAAATTCTGTTGAAGAAAAACTTCAGTGTTCAAACAATGAACAATAACTAGCCATACTTAAAACGTTTTCCAATTTTAATGATCAAGATTAGCTTGCTGTTAAAACAGCTCTTCTATTTTATTAGTAAACCAACACAGGGTATTAATACCAGCTAAGGTGTCACCTGGTTAAACCAGATATGTGCAGTTCATTCTGGTAAAGTGATGACCATGAAAAGTGACAAAGTGGACTCCAGTAATCCAGGGTCTCACACTGGGAGTGTTAGCAGTACTGATTGCCAGGTTGATTTTTAGTTTTGCTCTAAGTACATAGCTTGCTCTGATCAAAAGTTAATATTAATATCTTATTTTTTTATAAAAATAATTACAGACTAAGTAACATAAATAGACACTTTAGATCTATAAAACTAATCATAAACTTTAATTTAGGGCATGCAAGTTTCGTGGTAATATTTAACAGATGTATAGTGTTGAACAGATAAGTTTCTAGTTTTTCACTAACCCATAAAACAGTTGTCAAAATAGATCTTGTAAGCCTGTCAACTAAGTCTTGTTTGCCCTAGAATTTCAAAGTATAAGCTGTTCCAAATTTCGAACTGATAAATTAGGAAGAAGCAGCTGGTAAACATCATCCACCACCAACTGTTGAATACTCCAATCAAATAATGGGATTTTACCATCACAGATAATGTATCTAAAGTTCCTTAGTGAAGAGCACTATATATATATATGGTTTTTTTTTTCCAGTAATAGAACACAAACCATTGACCCCCATACATACTGACCCCTAGGCTGACATTATAGAAGCAAACATTAACTACAGCTGTAGCATGGTGAACCATATTTTAGGATTCACAACCTTTACTTGGACTTGTAAGAGCATAAAATAAACAAAATATGGAGTAAAAACATAAAACTAATTTAAATAACTATTTTAAATACACATTAGATAAAGTACTTCCTAGGAAAAATGTAGAAAAAGGCCCTTCCCCAGAAACATCTTTCTCAACATACCTGTCTGTAAGCTGTGCAACAGTAACCACTTCACGATCTTCCAAAAAAGTTTCTTCATTCCTTGTCTGGAATTTTTGTTTTTCAAGATACACTTTAAAATTTGAATACAAATACTGTCGTCTTGTAATTATTTTTGATCTATTTCAATAACATATAATCTTCAAATCAACTCTTAAGAGTTCATTACAGATATAAAAACACTCCAGCCTAACAACTTTTACTAATTAGGGATCCTTTTTATTTCTAGCCAGTATATATGGTCTTAATTTATAAATCACCATCTAACGACATAGCTATAAACACTAGTGTTTACCTAATTTTAATTAACACTCATGAATGAATTATTTTATAAATTTCATAGTGTAGGACTATATTTGTTCAAATTAAAAATAATAAAACTTATCTTCTCTTTTTTTTTTTCAGAAAAAATTTGCCATTTAGAGAACTAAAAATGGTGAAGACTTTCTAATCACATTTTTGTACTTCTTAAGTATTACCATCAGATAAAAGCTTCAGTTTATAGAAGAATTTCCTCTACCACAATACTAATGGATATTGAATAAAAAGGAAACATCTTTGTACATGCACCTGATCCACTTATACTTCTCAGAAAGTTTGGTGAAAACCAGGCAATTTGGAGATGAGGAAGAACCTACTTAATTTACTTGCCAATTGACTAGAAAACTTCAAAATTAAAGGAGTGAAAATAAATTCAATTAAAAACAGCAGTTACTTTTAACTAACCTACCTTATCCACATAAGTAATACCTTTCAGGCCTGTAACCTCACACTTAGTAACATCAGGAACATTGAAGTATGTATGCAGTAACACAGTGAATGAAAATTCAGATTCTCCTGGATGTGCATATTCAGAAAACAAAGAAATGATTTAACTTTATAGAAAAAGTTTTTTCTTATTTCTTTTGTGTTGAAAAAAGCCTTAAGTATTTAACTTTAATCCTGTAATTAAGTTATTGATGAATGTACTTTTCTAAGAAATTAAATCACTTGTTAAACTAACTAAAAGTAATTTCTAATTTTTTTTCTATGGTCTTTGCTGCTAATTTTCCAGCTCTCAAAATCAGCCTATAAAGACCTTAAAGTAGCTATTGGTTCCTGGTAGAATATGTTGATGGATCAATACCCGAGATGTAGATTTTCAAATATTTGATTTTCTTTTATAAATAAGAATGTAAGTTATTTTACCTGTATAAACTATACATCACATTTGTGTGATATTAAAGTTTCATAAGGCAATTAAAAAAGTTTTAAGTTCCAAGCTAGGAAACAAGTTTTAAACACTGAACAAAAAAAAGCAAGAAACAGACTTTCCTGATACTGAAATATTTGTGTAAAAAATACAAGAAAAACCACATGGAAAACATTTGTTAGAACAATGCAACAATTACTTTGACAGTGGTTTCCAAGTCACTTGAAAAGCTAACATATTAGTGGAACACAGGATTTTTTTTTTTTTTAAATTAGCTTTAATGATATACTACACACACACTATATATATATATATATATATATATATATCAAATAAACTACAAGTCTTCCTGTATTAGTTGTTACTATTGGTACATATAATGTTCAATTCTGACAAAATAAAAGCTCTCAAATACTCACTTTATGAATATATAATTTATGTTTGTTGTAAATTTAGATTATGAATAATATTGTAATAATTTTTTCAGCTTTTGCAACTTCAGTATTATTAACACTGCTTTTGAAATTTTACAATATTTTTATTAACTAACTAAACCTAGTAGTTTTATAGAGAAAAATCCTTTCATGATCCCAAATTTATTTGATTTTTGAACCTGTGTCCTGTTGACTTAAGCTATAATAATCATAATCTTTTTTTATTACTTACCTGTATTTTTAACATCAACTTCCATATTTAGCTTTTTGTCCATTAATGTGATTGTATAAGTCACTTTGAACCTGAAAATTTAAGTTACAACAATTTTATTGTTAAATATTCCAGCTATTTCATTGAAAAACAACTTAATAGGTGAAAAAAAAATATTTTTTTTTTTGTAAAAAATGTCAAATATCTCAACAAAATGAATGTATTTCTACTTGATGCTTATAAATAACACTCACTTGAGATGTTATCTTTATAACTTCCACCAAATTACAAAAAATATTCCTATCTAAACATTTAAAAGCAAAGATAAAATACTATTTTCTGTCACAAAAACATTTGTGGTATTATATTATCATGTTTTAAGAAATGAACATATTTATTTAATTATATTCCTTCTGGTATTTTTTTTATACCTATAGTCCCACAAAGCTCTTGTTGAATCTGAGTCACACAATGTAAACACTGCTTGAACATCTCCATTAGGCAACTGTAAAAAAAGGAAATTGTTTACACATCAAATGCACATTTAGTTGCAATATATATTTTATATTTCTATCAAAGGATAGGTATAGTCATGTAAACCTAAGTCGAAGATTTAAGCCTATTTTATAATTAAAATTGATAGTAAACCAAATTAAACATATTTATCTTTATTATGTACTTTAGACATTATTAAATTATCAAATATCATGATTTATGAAGTTTTATGTTTATATTATGTACTGCTTGTAAGAGTAACTTGGCACATGAATGAGAGCACTAGTAATTTTTTCTATGGCTACACCTGTCCTTTAAAGCATTCTGTTCTAATACATTGAGCAAAATTTTTTTTTAAGTGAAAAGAAAAGCTGTGTAAGTTAACATCACATTTTTTAACATTAAAAACATTAGTTATATAAACAAAAACAAATGTTTGTATTACAAGTTTCACCAACATAAAACACATATAAAGCATTAATAAATTAGTAGACATTAGTGTCTGCTTAACAATAATTTTCTGTTACAGATTTTGAAGAAACTGGAGAAATCCTACGATGATATATTACAATAATATATCAAGTTTTTGTTAAAATGCGAAAGTTAAGTGTGCAAAATAATTTGAAACCAGACTTCTTTGTTAAGCCAAATAATATCATTTTTAATACAATATAGAACTAAAATATTCATCACCTACATGACCAAAACTATTGGTTCCAAAAATTATATGAAGCTCTTAAGGAAATGAGAGATATAAGTAATTGGTATAATGTTTTATTTATACTTTATAGAAATTATCTTTTTTTTTATGTTTTAAGATACAATAATTTGATACCTTGGTGACTGGTAGAATATTGGTATCTCACTTTTAAATATTTTTTAACAATTGTTTTGGTATAATCTGTCTGTGGATGGGCCTCACTTGCCAGATGTTTTTTGTTGAAAGTCTGAAGATACTTGTACAGGAGTCCGAAGTAAACATGAGATTTTTTTTTTGTTAGAAGGAAAATTTCTCTGAGCATATACCTGATAATTTTTCGTTTAAGCATACTCTAAGTAATCGATTCTTGTATGAGCCACATCTAGCCTGAGTTAAACATCTATTTATATCCCTAAACCTCTGAAGGAGTTCTTTATACTTTTTAAGCATCTTCTGATTTACAATTTCTGACACCACTCACTTCTATATGCATCATAAAATTATAATGCTTATTGTGACATCAAAACTGATGAGGACATCCTAGAATCTGAAATATAAGGCTTCAAGTTGTTCAGTGAAGTGTTTTCAGTTGTGGACATAATGTTCCGTATTACCCCATAGTGATGATAGGATAGGTACCAAAAAAAGGTTCAAGACCTGTTCCTAGAGGTGCTTTTCATTTTATCGGTTTTTCACGTAAAATATTTATCATTAATTATTACAATATAATAATATTGCTATTCTTTGGTACCAGAAACCACACTGTGAAAAAGCTCTATAATGTCCTGTACTTTAGAACTTAGCTGGCAAGCAGATTCTAGTCCTAGTCTAGTCTATGCTCCCCATTACAATTAACTTTACCACTTTATTAATGAGAAAGTTATCCACTATATAAATCTCTTGACCAAGTTATTGCAAGCAGCCAAAGGTTCAAATCTATTAGCTGTTGCTTAAATTCTGACTAACTGTCTATTTAAAGCTGGGTAATTAGTGGAATTTGCTAACTGATTAATTGTTGGGCCCATTAATTAAATACATTCAACTAGTCGATTTAAAAATTTTTTATTTTCAGTTTGTTTTGAGGTTTTTTTGAAAGACATTTTCAAAGTACCCTTTATTTTCAGGTACAACAATTCAGAATTGATTTACATTTTTAATTTTAAACTGTTGTACTTAAAAATATATCATATACAAAACAGTATGAAATACGTAACAAGCTGAAAAATATGACTTATGTTCTGTGAGTTTTACCACACAAACTTTCATAAGACTACTAAAAGAACTAAATTTTTGTTGCTGGAAATAAATATTACTTTATGACATTAATTATAAATCAGAAAAACACTAAACATAACATTCTAAGGTTTATTTTGTTTACAAGTTACAATTTTTACAGAAAGTAAGGTATGTTTTAAAACAGGTACAACGTTTTGATCACCAATGTAATCATTCTCAAATACACCAGTGATCAAAACGTCATACCTGTTCTAAAAACAAATCTTACTTACTGTAAATGCTGTAACGTGTAATAAAATATACTTAATCAGTAAGTAAACTGAAAAAAAACTATTAATTCTCAGGTTTGTATTGCACATTACCCTTGTACCTCCATTTGAAAAAAATTTAACCAGCATTATCAGTATAGTAAGGGGTGCTGCATGACCAATCACTAGCCAGTAAGGTTTAGAAAAAAAGAGTATAGTTATGGAAAACTGGGATATCTATTGCTAAGTATATTAATTATTATTTTTAAATAATTTTCATTAAAGAAAAGAGTATAAGCATTGTTACATAAAACTGAGATATCTGGCTTTGTTATAGTATTATAAGAAATATCAAAACACAGCAATAACAAAAAATTATTTAATTACCCACTTTTATCATTTTATTTATCATTCCATCATCAGCATGGAAAAACTTAAAAAAATAATTAACTTTATAAGAATAAAAAAACATTAGTTGTTGTTGTTATCAATGGAAAGTTAAAAAGAACACATTTAAAACCTTTATATTTCATAGTAGAGGCTGGAAGAAACTGAAGAAAAACGTATATCAAACAACTGTGGCTCTTGAACTCATTAAATCAAACAACTTAAAGGAGGTGTTTATGTGGCTCTTGATGACTGTTAGACTTTTGCTCTCCATTTTTTCAGTTCTTCCTATCTAATTGTAACTAAACAAGAGCTCTGTTCATATAAATAGGTTAATGACTTAACGGTGTTACACACTGTCATATTGTTATTAGTCTACATCTGGTAATTTCAGACAAACACCATTAAAATGAGCCAGTAAAGAATAATGAACATTAATTAGCTGTAACTGTTTTTTTTCATTAAAGCAGTTTTACCCTAAGTAACACTAGTTAAGTGTGTATCTTAAAATAAGTACAGTCCTCTGGGAACTGCATACAAGTACATTTTCCAGAAAATTTTATATTTGACATGCAATTCCATGACTGGAACACAATTTCCAAAAAGAAGTGAAAAAATGGCATTATATATCCAGTTCAAAACTAAGAATTATAATTAATTCATTCTATCACATTTATATAAAACTAGCATAAAATACATGCACTTCACTGTGGGGTTCAAAAAACCCCCTCATGGTTCAAAGAGGCCCCAGTATATCGATCAAGCTCCTTCATTATCCCCAGTTACTTCTATAGCTACCCCACAAAGAGCTGATACCAGAAATCAAACCCCATTAGTACATTTGTTAAGATACTTGGGCGTGATTGCCACAACTGATTCTTCCAGCTTATGAGTAGGGGGTATGAACATAATTTCAAACATATGCCCCCAGGATAAAAAAAAAAATTAAGTTCAGCAAATCTGAAATCCTACTCCTTGCCCGAGTAACCACCCAGACATATTTTAGGAGAACATGCCATACAGATAATGAGTCCACTTGATTCTGTTAACAACTTTAAATAAACAATGATTACTTCTCTCTGATCAATACATTTCAATTGTACGCTAATTGAACTTGGTTAAAATAAAAATTTCACGTTATTAAATTCCATATTAAACCTATGCACACATGAATATTTAAAATTACTGCACATGTTTCATAATCCTGTATATTGCCAATACATGTTTATGATCACAGTTACTGTTGGAAAAAAATTACTCAATTCTTGAAAAAAAAAAGTTCCTGGAAAAGTTCTTAATTATTCATTTTCTTTCTCTTTTTTTCAATGGCTTACAAAATTGAGTTTCTTATTTTTAAAATTACAGATGAATATTGTGCTAACCAGGAAGAAGTATAATAACTGAAAATAACTCATAATTCAAAATGTAAAACCTATTCAACTTACAAAACGTACATAGCTGTAAATTCACATATTCTTGTAAAGAATACAGTTGGTCATTTTCATGTTGTTTATAAAAACCAATGTTAAATTTTGATGTACTAAATTAATCTTTCTCTGCTGTGTTGTGAAGCAAAGTCTGATAAAAGGTGCTTTGCACAGTCATTTAAGAAAGTGTAAAACATTGTTGGATAACTAGGTGAAAAAGTTGCCTTACTAATCATTTAACATTCTTTGATGAGATTACTGCTTATATAGGTGTGGGTACATGTGCATATTTGGGGTATTTGGATTTTCAAAAAGCATATAATAAGATGCCACATGAAAGGCTTGTTAAAAAAGTTATATCTATAGGTGTGGGGGATAAGTTAGCTCATTGGAGAGGAAAATGGCTGGATGAAAGAAAGGAGACTGATTGTTACTGTTATGAATGGAGTTCAGTCAAACTGGATTAATGTTACAGGTGGGGTATCTCAGGACTCAGTGTTTAGACCCTTACTCTTTTTTTTATTTACATCCATTATTTAAATGAAGGAATGGTCAATAAATTATTTAAATTTTCTGATGATATTAAGGTCTTGGGTGATGCTGGCCATGAGGAGGATACTACTGCTTTACAAAAGAATTTGGATTGTTTGTTAAGTTGGGCATATAAATGACAGATGGCTTTTAATTATAATAAATGAAAGATAATGCATGTGGGACATCATGATTTGAATTACAAGTGTAGTTTTGATGAGAATAACAATATTATGGAAGTAAAGGATCTTGATGTAGTGGTTGATCAGTTTCTTAAGCCGTCCAAGCATTGTGCTGTTGACGATGACAAGGCAATTAGGATTTTAGGTTGTATCTAATGAAACACTGAATACAAGTCTACAGAGATTAGATGTCATTGTATAAATCAAATTAGGCCACATTTGGAGTATTGGTTTCCTTGCCTTTGGAAAGTCATTGAATTGTTAGAAAGGGTTCAGAGGAAGGCAACTAAGATGATAGT